TGTGTGTGTGTGTGTGTGTGTGTGGTGTAAAGCTGGCCATGTTTGTTGTTAGTTTTGTCACTTATGTCCCTGAGCTAAAAACAGACCTATGGGCCAGTTGTTGTTGAGTGCACTGGGGAAGCGCCTAATCTCCCCACAACAATCGAAAGCCAAAATCTATCCATGTGATTTCAATTTTTTTTTATTTTACTTATCAGAATAAAATCTATTATTGTGTTCCCGTCCCTGGCAGCAGGCTTTCAGATAAGCAGCGCTCAAATGTGAATACTCAGCTGGAACCATATTGAGTTTAATGTCAGCAAACTTTATTTTAAGCTTACTGAGACTCAGCCATAAAACCTTCAGCAAACTATCAGAATCAATATCCATGGGTTCACTAAATACCACTGTGCGATATTTAGACAGTTTAAGACTGGAACCAGTGGAGTTACCAAATTAACACAACAGCAGTGAAAGGCATCTGGACCAAAACAAGTTATGAACAGATTATTAATAGGTATAACTTCAGACATTGTTATTTTTTCATTATCAACACATCTTTATAGTTATATCTGTGTGTGTGTGTGTGTGTGTGTGTGTGTGTGTGTGTGTGTGTGTGTGTGTATAGAACAAGGTTTTAATATAATACTTTAGTAATGCTTTTAACACTTTGGCCTGTATATATCATCCTCTGTACTCTCTGTGCATAAACATCCACCCATCCATCCATCCATCTATCTATCCACCCATCTATCTATCTATCTATCTATTTATAAATCCATCTGCCCGTCCATCTATATATCAAAGTGTCTTACTGGAGGAATATTTTCCACACCACAATAAAAATGTACATTTAAATGCACAACTGAATAAACAACAGCAACAGTTTTGGCATAATCCGGAAATCTGCCATTCAAGTTTACCTTCACCTTTGAGTAAATACAAGTATTTAGTTACTTGTAGTAAAAACTTTGTGAGCCCACACTGCACCTGTGAGTGTGACGTCAGATCCACGTCATGAATTAGTAAGGTGCTGTCCAGGGTGCTGAACCGTGAGGTCTGTGAGTGTGAAGGTGTGTGTCTGTGTGTTGTGTTGTGAGGTCTCAGGACGTGTAGCTTTATTACAGGAGAGATAATCAGAGAAGCTGGGAGAGTCTTCTCCTCTCTGCAGAATCAGACTCAATCTTTTTCTTTAGGCTTGTCTTCTCCTCTCTGTTGATATGGATCTGCTTCCAGCGCAGGAAGCGGCTAAGATCTACCACACCAACTACGTGAGGAACTCCCGGGCCATCGGCGTCATGTGGGCAGTGTTCACCATCTGTTTCGTCATCATCACGGTGGTGGTGTTCATCCAGCCCTTCTGGATCGGGGACAGCGTCAACACGCCGCAGGCCGGATATTTCGGCCTCTTCCACTACTGCATCGGCAACGCGCTCACGTCGGAGCTCATCTGTAAAGGCAGCATTCTGGACTTCGGCTCCATCCCCTCACCTGCCTTCAGGACCGCCATGTTCTTCGTGGGGTCCTCCATGCTGCTGGTGGTGGGCACCATGGTCTGCTTCAGCCTCTTCTTCTTCTGCAACGCGGGGAACGTCTACAAGATCTGTGCGTGGATGCAGCTGGCCTCAGGTGAGAGACAGGTGCATGTGGAACACTATACTGCTGTACTTCAGTTTACTCATGTACTTCCACTTTAGTGTGTATTCTACTCCATTAGTACTAAGGTGTACTCTTTACTTAATTACATTTATATGACAGCTGCAGATACAGTTAGTGGTTTAGATAAAAGCAGAGGATCAATGGAATCTATCTATCTATCTGTCTGTCTTTCTATTCACCTATTATTTAGCTTCTGCTTTCTTGGGTTTTTAATTTATTCCAATCCTGTGATGACATTAGTTCTTCCTATTTTAAAGATAGTTTAAATTGAGGAAACTCTGAACTCAACTAAATTAAATTAATTGTAAATGAATTTACCTGCCTGATCCATTATAATTAATTAATTTAAAAGATAAGGAGAAAAACACAAAGGGCACTAATAGGAACTGAGGCAAAATGAGAAAAGACTGTGGTATTAGTGTTGCAGTGTCAGGCAGATTAAAAAAACAATAGGTTTAAAGTGGAAGTTTGAAAAGAAAACGATTGCTATTCAGCGTTTGAGGGTTCAAATCTTTGCCATGGTCAAAAGTTACAGTTTGTGGAGAAATGTGAAATATATAGGAATGTGTAACAAAACATTTTTTTAAATTCTACTTTTTTAAACCCTATAGTTTGTTTAATATCAGTTTATAATCATCCAATTGAAACGACTGCACATTCTCCGTGTTCCAGAAAATAGGAGTGAACTGTCCCCTTGATAAACTCATTGGTTCGTGAGCTGCCTTCTCAGCTCTCTGGTTTCACACATGATGTGTGTTTGTTCTTGATGTGCTGTTCATCGCTGTGGAAGCCAATAAAGGATCTGGTTTCTGACACCTCTGAGGGTGGATTGGTTACATGTAACACAATCAGGTGTCGCTGTGTTGTTAACTGATCTAAACTTGTACCTGAGACATACCAAGGCCAAAGAAACGAGCCAGGCCTTCATATGTTATATGGTACTAGTGGTATTATATAACGTACAGGTATCGAACCAGTGGTGGAGGAAGTTAGCTCCTTCTCTCAAGTAAAATACAGTAATACAATGATGTAAAAATATTTATTTGAGTAATGATCCACAATGACATTTTAGGCTTTGATTCAAAGGAAGCTACTGACTCAGCCTGTCGTATTTCCTCAGGCCCAGTGCTCAGAACACTCGGGGTTCTTATATAAAGCTCTGTACCCCAACCCAGTTCACAAGTTTATCTACTTGTTCATTACTTTCCACCACTCTGTGTAAGGGGACGGTTCCTTGATCTTTAGCTTGATAGTTGCTAAATTCAGATTTGAAGCGACGTTTTCACAATAGCTTTGGCAGAAACCCAGAGGAAACTGAAACCAGATGAAAATCATAAATGATGGAAGATCTTTTATAAGACAGCATAATAGAAACAGCTCCACAGAGCTTCCTCGGCCCTGCTGCACAATGAATTAATGAAACCTTCTGCACTTTATGGGGGTGCATTATCACAAGGCTCAAAAAAACCTATCTTATAATTATTGTGCAATGTAATAGCACTCAAGGGGTAATTATTGCAAGACTCTGTTATTTCTAAGACCTCCTTCCCCCGCAGCCGTGTTGATGGTAATGGGCTGCATGATCTACCCTGACGGCTGGGATTCTCCGGAGGTTAAGAGGATGTGTGGCCAGAGGACAGATAAGTACAGCCTGGGGAACTGCACGGTGCGCTGGGCCTACATCCTGGCAATCATCAGCATCCTGGACGCCCTCCTCCTGGCATTCCTCTCCTTCACCCTCGGCAACCGACAAGACAAACTGCTGCCGGACGACTTTGAGATGGATGGAGCAGGTAAGGGTTAGTGTGCGGGGGGGATGTGTTACTGCAGATGTTTTCCTACTTGTCACGGTAGGAAAAGCACAGGTGCCCCAGAAAGACGACAGTGAATGGGGACTGTGAAACTGAAGACACAATTCAGTCATCATTGATTTTATTATCTAAACCTGTGATTTTCCTACTGTGACTGTCACAGAAGCCTTTTACAAATCATTCCGAAAACAAAAGCCTCAAACACTGAACACGACCACTTCCAGGTCCATTAAGTGATCATATCCCATGATCCTCAGCTGATGGGATTTGCTCAGATGTTATGAACAGTCTTAATGTAGGTGTTTTCCCTGAGAACAAAAAGTATTTTTATCTTTCATTGTGCCATAGCTCAGGTGAAGACTAACGTTGAGTTCCTCATGTTGACACTGATATTTATCCCAGTGAGCTGGGATGTTTCTTTAATCATGTTTGCATATCCTGTTTTTAGGAGAGGTGGATGTTTACTCTGTGTAGTTTTTCAAAATGTACTTAGTTAATTTGGGCCTATTATGTGTTTACTAATAATTATTGTAATTCAGTGTTTTATTTACTTTATTTACAGGATTTCTGTTTGCCCAGGAAATTACATGCCAAATCATCAGCTCATAGAAATATCCATATGCTGCATGTCCTGTCATTTTAAACTGCTGCTGCTTCCTTCAGTTATTAGAACTGTCTCTCTGCTTTAGTTTAAACTTTAAACTGTTTGAGATGTGAACGAGAATCGTAAATCCCTAAAATAAAGTTTGTCTGTTCATTTACAGAAAAAAACTGATGGACAGACTTTCAGAACAAGCGTGGTGTAGTTCGATGCAACAAGAGTCAAGACGAGGATCTCGAAATTTTATGACGCAGTAAAGAACACAACTGTATCTATAACTTTTTTTAATCATTCTAATATACAACTCTACTGCTTTACTAGCCAATGAATAATAACGTTTTAACAGTTCCATAATTCATGTCAACAACCTAATAAAGACTGAAAAACAAGCATGACAGTCATTGTGTATTGTATGAATCTGTTTTATTGTATGTTGTGTTGTACGGTTTTGTAAATTGACAGCTCGCACAAAGTCGATGCTCTTGAATCCGACACTGAAACAGTAAATTTCATTTTCACCGAGGCCTCGACAGAAACATGATATGAACGTTTTTGTGATGTAACATCAGATCTCATCATGTCTATGGTAAAAACAGATGTTATTGAACGGTTGGCCACACATACAACTGAGCTCAAACACACCTTCCATACGCTTTTTAATAAAACACAGCTACCCAGCTAAATCATTTTAGCTAAGATATACGATTTGTTAGAAACTGTACATAACTGTAATATACATAAAGGCAAACTCTTTGGTACAGATATATACAGTTTGTTTCCACTTATTTTTTCCTTTGAATCGGGCTTCTTAAAACGCTGTATTTTTTTTGAAACCTTCCAAACACTATTTTCCTGAATTGTAATAAGTGTATGAGAATACCAGCCTCCCATGAGAAAGAATGATCTCATTTACTACAGTTAACTAACCACACTAAATACCAGGTGATTTGTTGTAGCTAAATAATATGACCTACTTCAGACAGTGGATGTCTCGGTAAGAAACTAGTCGTTACCGCAGTCAGTGTAACTGTAAGCCCAGTGTGCAACTTCCTAAACCTATTTTACAAATACAAAATGTATACCTTACATGTGTAATATGAGATAAAGTAATTCATAAAAAAGGAACACAGCACTAATGAAAATGAGGAAAAGGGTGATGGTGAATCCTTTTTACGGGGACGAAATGACCAATGAAGGCTACATACCCTTGGTTTGTTTAAGTTTTAGTGCAGGAGTGTAACAAACAAGGATGAGTCACTAGAAGTACAATAACAGGTTTGCTTAGCCGGATGGGTGAACAAAGCACAGCAGTTGGAGCCAACGTAACCACAAAGAAATATAATCCACTCGTTTCCTGACGTCATCACACCGAGAGAAGAACCAACAAATACAAAGCAAACATACACAGAAGCATTAGCTCAATAACAAAAACATAAGAGATCCAAAAACAACAAAACAAAAAAGAAATAAATATTCATTTGATATGCCCAAACTGGAAAGTGATCTGTTGCAGTCTCTGGAGAGAGGAGGGAGAATGGAGGGGAGGTGCAAGGGCTAGAGGTGTCCACTAGAGGGCGAGCCAGGGGTGGCGCAAGCACTCTGCAGCAGTGGCCCTCTTCTCAGGGATCAGCTCCAGCATGGGGAGCAGGAAATCAGTAAAGCACTCAGCTTCTTCGCGGGGCCACTCGTACTTGTCGACCAGCACCTCCAGCAGCCCCCACGGCTTCAGCTTAGTAATGTGTTTCAGGTCACCTGCAGACGACCAGACACACAACTCTGTATCAGAGGCACAGCGGCACAACTTTACAGTGTGTGAGCTCAAGACAACAGTTAAATCTATGAGAACACAAGTACATGCATTATAGCAATCTAGATAGTTCAAACAGGGAATATTTGATCTATTTAAAAGGTTATATTCAATGTTAAAAAGATTTTTAACAATACATTAAAACAAAAAGGTACGAGAATTATCTGCAACACTAGATCATGATCCTAAGGACAGACGGACGGAGATCTCTCACTCCAAAACCTCCAAACTTGACACTGACACTTTTTGTTTTACCTTTCTTGGTGAAAAAATCCTTGGAATATTTGCCAGTCACTATGAGTTTGCGTGGGACACTCCCCAGCAGCTCTATGATCAGCGCTATATGGTCTACAAGGCAGATGGTTGCCGAAAGGAAGAGGGAAAGACAAACAAGACAAACCACAGAGTCATCAGACAGTGTCGGAGTCACAGGCCCGCTCTGGGTGTGTGGATGGAGGGCTGAGGACGAGCGGCATCAGGCTGACAGCACGCACACAGGTCAGATTGTTGCAGAGGTCGGTGTGCACAGGCCAGATGTCGAACACAGCCATCAGACATTACAATGTACTAGTTCCCTAGAGCCCAAGGGGACTTATTCAGATATATCTTATTTTGTCAAAGCAACAGTCAAAAACCCGAAAACATTCAGTTCACAATGATATAAAATACAAAAAAAGTTCAACACAGGAGTAGTAGGAATTGTTTAGTATTCTTGCATGAATTACCTAAGTGATGCTCTCAAAACAGTCAAATAAAGGTCCATGTACTAATCGATTTATTGAGAAATCATTTCCGCTCTACAAGAATCTGAGTCACTACGACTAGCAGCAGAGGGATTTTGATCTAGGTTCAAGTCCCCCAGCAGACCCTGCCCTCCACATGTGCTCTAAAGCTTGACACCGAAACCTACCAGCTCCTGAGCCTGGGTTCACTTTAGAGATGAGATTTTTTTTACCAATACAGGTCGAAGATAAGATGAAAACACTTTCATTGCATATTAGGAAACATTCTTTATTCACTTTGACCTGTACTTAACAACAAGCCATGCCATTTAGGTACATTTCTCTGTGATTTACTGAATCGATTTGATTAAATTTGTTCACTGCTGTGAATGACCTTACACTACGACTTCCCTGTGAGGAGAGAAAAGTCAGGAGAAATTACCCAGCAGGGATCAGTACCATAAGTATCCAGCCAAGCCCTCTGGCAACAACAAGGGCGGCACTGAATGTACTTCTGCCAGGCAATCATTGGCAGAGCTACTGCTACTTGAATCAATGACTGATGACACCATTCAGACATTTATTGGTCTGTATTGAATATTTTGTTCCCCGCCCTGTGCACACCGACAGCTTTGGTATATGTGAACGTGCCGAAACCTTTACCCTCCTCTCTGCCGTCCAACACTGTTCCCACAGCAGGCCACAGGCAGAGGACAGGCATACCTCTATTGGTGAAGTATTCCTGTGAGTATTTCCCACTCAGAGCATAGTGACGAGGGATTTTACCGAGCAACTCTATCATGAGAGCGAGGTGGTCTGGAAATGAGGCACATCAGAGGAGGAGAGGGAAGATAGGACGTTTTGGAGAAATGAAATGAGATGAGATGGCAAATGGGAGAGGGGACGGGAGAGAGATGGCAAACAGTCATGTGGAACAATGTATTAGGAACAATGGATGACAATGTGGTATGACAAGAAGCACATGTATGAGAATCCCGTATTATTTTCACACATTTACAAACATTTGAACACATATAGGCCATGAACTTCCCTTCAGGAAAACAAAACAGAAAATATATCATTAAAAAAAGGCCTTAAGCACAGCCATCTACACTATTTGCATAAAAACATGTACAGCAGATCTGATCCAGGAGGAAGGATTAGTAAAACAAGCCCATAAATGACATCCACACAGCAGAGAAAGCAGAAGTAGAATGGAGAAAAATACAGAATCATATGTGCATGAAGGTGAGCAAGTCCATTCACAGCTGCAGCTGAAATGTGCGGATGAACAAAAGCTGGAATCTCAGACTGACGTATAACAGCAGAAGCTACACAACGAGCCAACATTTACATGGAGAAAGCATGAAGGAGGTGAACAAGGAAACGTAGATTGAATGATGAGGAGGTGAAGAAAGAGGGAGAGAGGAAATGAAGAGATGGCCCCGTCTCCAGTGCGGCAGAAATTTTTGTGATTTGAGGTGTTAGAGAGGACATAAACACAGGAATGCTGGTACTCATCATCATGTGAGTCACGTCTATATGTTTGACATCACTGTAATGGAGTACCTCATTGAAGTGTTAATGCTGTGGAAATTTAGGCAAAGTGCAAAATGTTGTGCAAACTGCACATGAATTTACAAAGAAGAACTTGCAGTGCGTGTTGTGAAAATATTATTAGATGTTTAGAAGTTCAAAAATAAAAAGTGCTGAGGGTCCATTTAACAAGGAAAACATCTTATTTTTTACAGTGGAAATAACCATTTACCAACAGTGCTAAAACCCTTAGAATTAATATTGTGCAGTTATAACTGACAGAGAATAGAGCAGAGAAGAAAGTCCCAGCAATACCTTCATCCCTGGAATAGTCTTCCCCAGAATGTGGTTCAAACAAATAGTCCCCTGTGGTGAGCTCAAAGGCCTGAGGAGACAACACAATCATCATGAACACAGGAAACATCACTGTATGATGGGGTAGATTTATTCCCCCACACAACTTGCTGCAATCCCATAATGAGCTCTACTGAGGCACACTGGACTATGATAGTTCTTAGGTTTTTATATTATGCAAGTTTACTGTCAATGTGCCATCTCTCACCATGCAGGCTGTGCTCCATACATCAGCCGGTGTGCTGTACCCAGCACCAATGAGCACCTCTAAGGAGCGGTACTGCCGTGTCTGTATGTCTTCCGTAAAGTGCTTGTGCTGAAAGAGGCAAGAAGAAATAAATCCAAAAGTTGTAAACGTGTGGAGACTAGAGAGAACTGTATCAGGGCACAGTCACATGTGGGAATGTGAAGTCAATATCGCAGGTATAAGTACACTCAAGTGGAACTCCATGCAAAGCCATACCGCTGATTTGCTTTGCCACAGTAAACAATTTTTTTATGGCACTGCTAAATTTGCATATGTGTGACTGCGCTCTCACACCGCATCTGCATTCCACATCATAACTTGAAAAATATACTGTATAACAATCCAAAAAACTGCACAGAGCATACACCGCTCCCTCTAGACTACTAAAAGAGGTGGCCGTTTCAGTTTGAAGTATGAAACTTGGAAACTTGCCATTGTTCATCTAACACTCCCACCCTCAAGGATCATGTCTGTTCCTGTTACTGTAATATTTATTTTAAAAAATGTATTGGAGCAAAGCATGTGCATGCATATGTTCCAATGTGCACACTGTGATAAATAACAATCATGCAGAAAACACTGTAACACCCTCAAGTACGGGCTGATTGTCTCGTGTGTGTTATATCCATGTCCTTGCAGTGTCATGTTGTCTTTCTCGTGTGATTGTCCGTCATGGAAAACCTACAGTAAATGTGTGTAGAATTAATTAATTGTAGACAGGCTACTTCTGCCATTCAGCATCTG